TTCATTCATAGTAGAGATTGTCACAAATTACTTAGATTGTGGGTAAAATATTTTAATTATTGGATGATGAGTTTTACTATTATTTATTAACAACTAATGGTCATTATTTACGATGCTTATTCTATATTGAAAAAAATTCCAAATCAAATTGTCAATCATACAGGCTCCATTAATCTTTTTACCTATCACTTGACTTTTTATACAAAAGAAAGTAACATGAGCCTTTAGGATTATCATGGGAAAAAAACAGAAAAGAAAAAAATCTTTAATTGTTGGCGGAACATGATTAAAGGTTTGAGGAACTGCTCCAAAGTCCAAAGGCTGAAAGGTCAATATCATCTTTATCCTTGATAAAAATAAATAATAATAATAATAATAATCATCATCATCATCATCATCATCTTTAACCATTTGTATCGTGTAAAACGTGGAAACATCGCATGCCCTACAATGCCCTCCGAGTATAGAGTTATTTAAGGGAAAGAAATTCTTCTTGATGGATAGATCTTTGCCCAAAAAATTTCAAATGAAATTCAAAAGAAATTGTTACTTAATGGTAAGGATTATGTATTGAAACAAAAATAATTTATAATTATCTTTCATAGGTTGTGTGCAAATGCGTTATATAAAATTGAGCATGACGAGATTAACAGTAGGTTTAATCTGAGAGAAATAAAGAGAAAGTGAAGGGAAGGGAGGGAAGGGAAGAAAGATAGAATGACACAATAGTTTTTCATTTTCTTCCTTCTTCTTTTTTATTTGAATAAATTCCTTTCTTTCCAAATTTTGTATTAACTAAACAGAATAATTTTTATCTTTCTCATCTTCTTCCATTTCGTCAAACCAAATATATTATAAGGGTAGAGTTTATTAGTTTGGTACGTGGATGTCAATCACCAATTCCTTATACGTTTATGATATTTTAGTTTTGATAATTGAAAATATCATTAATATATACTATTATTAATTAAATATTGAGGATGGTGTAGGGTAGGTTGTCATTCCAAAATTTTTTTTGAAGAGCTTATTTAAAAACTCACCATTTAATAAATATTTTATATTTTCAAAAATCGATTGTTATATTGAAAGTTTTATTTATATAGATCATATATTTTAATTTTTATATTAATTTAATACTTATAATCCTTTAATTAAAGAAACTCTATTTATTGAGATATATTTAATGATGTTAAATTTTTTGTAATTAATGAATCGGTTGGATCTATTAAAACAATTTGAAATTTGACATGTATGATCTATATGAATAGAATTTTTGATCTAATGGTTGATTTTAAAAATAATAACTAGAAGATGAATTTTTAGATAAGTTTTTCAAAAAAATTTTAAAAGAATGACAAGCAAAAACACTTTTTCCTTAAATATTCATATGGCAAGACACACTACATTGTTATTTTCTATGTCTTTAAGTTTGCCAAGAAACTGTTAGGGAGAAAAAATAGACAATAAACTTAATTGTTCTCGTTTTACAAAGAGTATATTTAGTTTGTGGAGAATGAATGAGAGAGGAGAGAAGAGAAGGGAAGAAAATAATGAATTTTTTAATTAATTAAATTATAATATCTTCAAATATTATAAAATTTATTGATTAACTGATCCCCTCTTCTTAAGCCAAACGATATCCTAAAACTTAAAAAAAAAAAAAAAAATTTGAAACCAAATATTCATTCAAGTAAACCTTAAACCCTTTAAATTAAACCTAAAATCAGGTTTACAAATACTTCACAAATAAATAAACAAAGGCTTAATTTATTAAACAATCTAGTAATCTTTGCATCTTTTTCTGTTTTGTCTACTAACTTTAAATGCTTTAAAATTTGTCTACTATGTTTTACTTTTATTTCAGTTTTATCTACTATGTTAATTTTCTAATAGTAGTTTCACTCCTTTCGATTAAATTAATCTTTAACAATGGGTAGAAAAGAGCTAGGGGGAGAATTACATTCTCTTACAGATCTAACAATGGAGAAAGAGTGGAATCCAAACCAAAAACACTTCAACCCAAAACCTCAATCCAAAACCCAATTGGGATGCAATAGGACACTGAAAGGGAATGATAGAGGACACCGAGGACCATTTGAAGGCTATAGCAAAGGAGTCTTGGAGCAAGCAACCTCCTTCTTCTTTACCGGCTTCCCAGAGGACTAGAAGATCAGTGAAATGTGGCACGTGTTCATCAGGTGCGAAAGGGCAATACAAGTTCTGTTGCAAAAAAAAGGGACAGAGTAGGACGCTGATTTGGCTTTGTTCGATTCTTAGAAGTGAAGAACCATAGGGAGCTAGAAGGGAAACTAAACCAGATTAGAGTGGGGCAGCATACAATCCAGGCAATCTTGGCTAGGTTTTGAAGAGAAGATAGTATGAAGAAGCAAAATTCCCCCACTCATGTTAGGGTGAGAAAAAAACCAGAATACCTTGTCTTACGCTGAAGCATTGAAGAATGGTTTAAGGAAGCAACAAGGTCAGGTAGATCAAATTCAAAATTCCAAGCAAGTATGGAATGCAAAGAAACATAACCTGAACTCGAGTGTGGAAAAGGATGAATGGTGTGGGTTAGATGTTGAGGCTGACGAAGAGCAGTTAGAATGGCTTTGCAAGATGTCTTGAAATAATCTGTACACTTCAAAACAAATTCCTGATGGAAGGATACTTTTCAGCCAACCTAACACCAATGGGAGGGAATTTGTGTTGATATCTTGCCATGATGTAGAGGAACTAAAACATTTAGCGGAGCATGGAAGAGAATGGCTAGCACAATGGTTCTTAGAAGTCAGACCATGGACCCCAAAAGAGGTGGCAGCAGAGCATTTTAAATGGTTGAGATGCCAAGGAGTTCCTTTACATATATGGAAGAGTAGCTTCTTTGAAATAGTCATGTGTTTGTTTAGGAAGTTCATATCATTGGATGGTAGCACAATAAGGAAGAAAAGATTGGATGTTGCAAAAATCTTAATCTTGATTGCCATTCAGGAAAACATCCAAAAGGTTCTTAAAGTGAAAGTTGGGGATTCCATATTCCACATTCGAGTGACTAAAGAGGCAGGGATTGACAATCTGTTCTCGCTAAAGTCAGATTTCACTTTATGTAGAGATGATGCCTCAATCTTGAAAGATTGGTCAGAAGATTCAAATGAAGGACTATGTAAGGATGAAGAAGACATGGGAAATTGGAGGATAATAAAGGACGACGAGGAGCTGGTGGCGTCCTCATATGTAGTAGAGCTTGTGCCTAAGAAATTTGTTATGTCGTCGAAATCGAAAAAGGAAGTGGAACGAGTATCAGAGACAACGGGCATGTATGAGAACTCATTTAATGCAAGAGTTCAAAATTCAAATTCAATGGCGGTTGATGGAAAGTTTGAGAGGATTGATGGAATAGAAGCTGTGGAGAAAGAAGTAGATTCAATAGGAACTAAAAAAGAAGGAAAATGACGGCTAGGGGCTGGGTCCTCTCAACTATTAAGAAAATCTAAGTCAATGGAAAGCCTGAATCTTCTTAACTCAAATGTGGGTAAAGGCGCAATGGGATTGCATGGAATTGGGCCTAAAAATGACGAAGGGAATGACAATAATGAGGCTAAGGCTTGTGACCCAAATAAAGAAAACAGCCATGCTGGGTTCGACTCATAATTAAAATCAAATGGGGATCTAGAATTTTCCAGCATCCAACTAATGAATCAGAAAACAAGGGAACATATGGAAACAAGCACAGAAACTCGATGAGATCTAGTGGAAAAAGAGTAGAGCACACAACCGTTTTGGGAAGGGTTGGCCAGTGATAATGAGATTTTGCAATCAAGGGCTGAAAGGTTGGCAAGGGACAGGAAAAGGAAAAGAATGATGGAAAGGAGAATGAAAGCTTTGGCGAGGGCAAGACGCAATAGGAGGAGGAAGAGGGGTATATCCCAAACTAACGACTTGAACAACGGGATAGAGCTAGATAGAAGTCAGTGTCCAGTGCCGGATGTGGAGCAAGCAACAAAAAATAGTTGGTGGAGGGAAGCAGAGGAATTATGGCTAATGGATAAGCAATTGGGCTTATTGGGCAATAACAATGAAGAGGAGATTATCTGAAGAATAGGGGAAATGGGGAAAAGAGATAGGGTAGCTTTAGCCGAGCAAAAATTGGCCGAGGCAGCTAAGAAAGGGAAATCAGTGAATCCTCCATGAAGATTATCTCAATTAATATTAGGGGTTTGGGTGGAAGCAATAAAAGAAAGGGTTTGAGGGAGCTAATAAAAAAAAAGAAGAAGAAAGAAGTGACATGATCTTCATCCAAGAATCAAAGCTGGAAGTATGTGAGGAGCAGACATGTAAATCCATATAGGGCAGTGACAATTGCAAATGGGTGGTTAAGTAGGCTCAAAGAAGATTTGAAGGTATAATATGTATATGGAGCCCAGGTATGTTTGAATTCAATAAGAAGTTACTTGGTACTAGTTTTTGTGGTGTGTTTGGATTTTGGGGGAAAGATAAAATTCCTTGTCGTTTTATAAATGTATATGCACCTTGTGAAAATCAAGGAAAACGCATCTTATGGAGAGAATTGCTTGATCTAATTAAGGAGAACAGTGGGGGAAATTGGTGTATATGAGGAGATTTTAATGCAATTCAGGATAGAGATGAAAAGAAAGGAAGATGTGTTGATGAGGTTGCAATGAGGGAGTTTAACAAATTCATCTGTGAAGCAGGACTAAAAGATTTGCCTATGTCTAGAAGGCAATATACATGGTACAAAGCTGATGGCACAACAATGAGCAAACTTGATAGATTTTTAGTGTCAACAGAATTTCTAATAAGTTTTATGGAAGTTGTGCAAATAGGATTAATGAGAGACATTTCTGATTATTCCCCAATCTTACTCAATAGCTCATGTAAGTAGTGGGGACCCAGACCATTCAGAAGTCTTGATTGTTGGATGGAACATCACCAGTTTAGTGACTTTGTCCATGAAAAGTGGAATGAATATAGAATTGATGGCTGGGGTGGGTATATAGTGAAGGAAAAATTAAAAAGGCTGAAGAATGACTTAAAGCAGTGGAACAAGGAAGTCTTTGGCTGCATTGACAAAAAGATGGAAGCTACAAAGAATAAAATCAAGAAGTTGGACGTAAAAGGAGAGATATATGCATTAATAGAAGTTGAGGTGGAGTAAAGACAGACCTAGTTTAAAGAATTATGGGAATGGAGCAGAGTGAAAGATAGTCTTCTGTTTCAAAAATCAAGGTAGAAATGGTTACAGGAAGGTGACGCCAACAGCAAATATTTTCATGGCTGCATTGTCTCAAGGAGAAAATAGAATGGATTAGATGGGGTTATGAAGAACAATGAGTGGATTACTGAGGTTTCTGAGGTAAAGAATTTTATTAAAAATTATTTTGAGGAAAAATTCAAAGAAGACGAATGGGATAGACCTAATCTGGAGTTAAAGAACCTCAAGCAACTGAATGTAGAAGAGAATGAAAGACTAACTGCAAAGTTTACTAAAGAAGAAATTCAAGAGGCAGTGTGGAGCTATAATGGAAACAAAAGCCTTGGTCCTGATGGATTTAATTTTACTTTTATCAAGAAAATGTGGCCCACTTTGAAAGAATACATCGTCACTTTTGCCAAAGAATTCTGGGCTAATGGCAGATTGGTGAAGGGAAGCAATGCATCTTTTATTGTTCTAATTCCAAAGAAAGAGAACCCACAAGAATTAGGGGATTTCAGACCGATATCTCTTATTGGCTGCATGTATAAGATAATTTCCAAGATCCTAGCAAACAGATTGCAGAAGGTGATGCCATCTATCATAAGCGTAAACCAATTCACATTTATTAGAGGAAGACAAATGGCAAACAGGATTGTGATTGCAAATGAGATGATTCATGAGGCTAGAAGAAGAAAGAAGCCAACCTTAATATTCAAAGCAGACCTCAAAAAAGCATATGAGAGTGTGAATTGGAAATTTCTAGATCTGATGATGGAAAATTTTGGCTTTTGTATAAAATGGAGGTGATGGATTAAAGAGTGCCTATCTACTGCAATAATCTCAATACCAGTGAATGAGAGTCATACTGAGGAATTCCATGTGGAGAGTCCTACTGAGGAATTCCATGTGGAGAAAGGATTATGACAAGGGGATCCACTAGCTCCATTCCTATTTTTACTTGTTGCCGAAACCTTGAATGGGCTAGTTCTTAAAGCCAAGGAGGAAATCTGTATAAAGGGGTCAGGGTGAGGTCGAAGCAATTGGAAATCACATGTCTCCAATTCGTAGATGATTCGATATTCTTATGTGATGCTGCAGAATAGATATTTGGGCAATAACATGTGTGCCAAGATTCTTTGAGTTATCCTCAGGACTCAAGGTAAGTTATTTCAAAAGTGCACTATATGGAATTAATGTGGAGGAAGAAGATATCAGTGACTGGGCAGAGAAATTGAATTGTATGGTGGGTGTGACACCATTTAAATTCCTTGGGGTCCTTGTAGGTTCTAACCCGAAGAAAACCTCTACATAGGCATCGGTTATTGATTGCTTGAGAAGGAAATTGTCACGCTGGAAATGTGAATCGCTGTCCTTTGGTGGTAGAATTATCCTCTTGAATACTGTCCTATCAAGTATCCCAGTTTACTTTTTTTCAACCATGAGAGCTCCCAAAAAGGTACTGAATATTCTCTCTTTAATTCAAAGGAGATTCTTATGGGGGGTAATGAGGATAAAAGGAAGATTGCTTGGGTTAGTTGGGAAACAGTGTGCAATAATAGGAATGAAAGAGGTCATGGTGTGAAAGATCTAGGTAGGTTTAATTTGGCATTGCTAGGGAGGTGGCGGTGGAGATTGTTAAGGGAGAGAGGGGCCTTATGGAATAGGGTAGTGGAAGCTAAGTATAGAGTGCATAGGAAACGGACTATAAGGGCAGGGAAGTGAAAGCTAATAGTTTAGATTGGTGGAAGGAGCAATGGAAGATTGATAGGGCAGTAATTGGTAAGGAAGGTTGGCTTTAAAAAGGATTAGAAAAGGTTATTGGGGAAAGGAATGACTTGTCATTTTGGCAGGAGGAGTGGTGTGGAGAGGTACCATTTAGGGAGAAATTTAGTAGATTATATAGATTGTCGAAGGATAAGGAAGCTTTAATAAAAGACATAGGGGAATGGAGAGGAGGAGAGTGGGTGTGGACATGGAGATGGAGTAGGGATTTATTAGGTCAAGATCTAACTGCTCTACAGGAACTCACTGATCTGTTGAAAAGCCAAAATTTGATATAAGGGAAGTAGGACAATTGGAGATGGAGACATCACCCGACGAGCACCTATACCACAAAGTCAGCCTACAATGTAATAGCAGGTGGTACAAGGGACCTAAATCTACTGAAATATAGAATGGTATGGAATAAAAATGTACCATTGAAAGTTGTTGCTTTTGTCTGGAAAGTCATACAAAATAAAGTCTCCACAGGAGATAATTTGCTTAAAAGAGGTATTGTTGGAATTAAAGAGGACTTTGCATGCATACTATGTGGACACAATCAGGAATTAGTAGATCACCTATTCTTCACGTGTGAGACAAGCTGGAAGGTTTGGCAATCTTGTTGTGAATGGTGGGGCGTCCAATTTGTTCTAACAAATGAAGGCTGGAGCCATCTACAACA